TTTTTTCTTTTTTTTTGGGTTGAAGAGTGTATACATTCATGCTCATATCTTGCATCTCTATTATGTTTTTATTAGATCTCCCATCTCAATCGGTTGCTTCTTTCTGTCTTGCCAAACTACTCGAACTCAGATCTGTAAGTTTTTATTATATATGCATTTGTTTTGTATAAACTTAGATCTCTAATTTTTCAAATCTATTTTAGATTTATATGCTTTCTCGGATATTGATGTTCATTCTTTGTGTTGGTTGTTTGGATAAGCACGAAGTGTAAAATGTTGTCTATATAACATAGAAATGAATAAAGATCACATGTAACACGAAGAATAGTCTTTCCATTATTTGTGGGTGGGTTTAATATTGTACGGGAGTATTTAAAACAAAAAAGAACAGAAGGAAAAGAAAAAAAAAATTAAAGAAAAGTTTGATAATTATATTTATCATTATTCAATATTCGTAACTGTTATTCATCATTGATCATTTATTCGAACAACCCGTAAGAAAAAATACAGAGGGTTCAATGGGTGTTTGTTTTGGGTCTTTTGAGAGAGAGAGAGAGAGAGAGAGAGAGAGAGAGAGAGACTTTCCTTGTTAAACATTTGACCAAAATTCTTTTTAGGTAAAACAACTTTGGGGTCAAAATCTGGGATGTTGTTTTCTGATATTTTTTTGCTTTCCTGGAATTTTTTACCTTGATAAATTTTTGGAACTTATGCTCTGTTGGGTTGATTGGAATGGGATGGAATGATTATTCCTTAGGCTCTCTTGTAGAATGATCACTCTTTTACAATGGTGAATGACGATTCCATTTATAATGTATTTTTCATATTTTTTAGTAAACCAAACATAGGAATGGACAATTTGATGAAATGATCATTCCATTCGACTTCATTCCATTGAACCAAACATTAACCAGGAGAAAAACAATCAAACCAAAATCTGGCTTTTTCTTGGAATTTATTTTCCCCAATCTACTGAATCAAACGGAAGCATAAGGAAAGCCTATTTACAACCGGCTTGATGTTCCTTTTATGTGATCCCCATTTGCAAATATGCATGTGTTCACAAAATTATACAAATATGCAATGAAGGCAATTCAACTATCCTTAACATGTAAATGTGTTCTCAAGCTACCATTACATGGTCTAGGTAGCCTGAGAGTTTCTCTTTCATAGGTTCCCATTTTTTTGAACTTCATGAATATATATATATATATACTAAATTCAAGTATGACTCAAATTTAAATACTATATAAGTAATAAAAAACACACTCTTAAATGACAGCAAGATTATAAATGTAGAAGCCTAAATGATGTAATATTCGCAAGGGCCAGCAGCTTAGATCACTGTAATTGTTTTGATGAATAGGTTATTTTTAACAGAATTGAACCAAATCTAACAGTGTTAGTAACAATATTGACTTGTCAATTTAAAAATGTTGACTTGTCCTAGGATTACTAAGATCATAATGAGAAATGAGCACATTAGTCAAATTGATCCAATTGGTAGTTCATACTAATTATTTATTTTTATATTAATTAGCTCACTTTAGCACATTAGTATGATATTTTTGTTTGTATATGCAAATTATGAGATACAATTTTAAGCAGGCTGCCCATAAAAATTTACCTTTTAACTTCATAATTTTGAAGACTTGGTTAGTGAAGTTATTTTCTTACTTGGCCTTTGTCTGAAACTTTTATTGGTAGACTACATTTTCACTTCACCGATTCCCTTCTTAGTATTTACAAATTTAATTTTTATTCATAAACACATATATAATAATGTGACATAGATATTTTTACAATTATGTAGTAGTTGTTTTTAATTTCAAATGCCATTTAAAAAATTCATTACACCAACAAGCCGGAGTTCAAAACTGGTCTTTCTCACACCAACATAATGGTTTGTTTAATTTTTGTTATTTTGTCTTCAGAAAATTCATTACATTCTAAATTCATGTAAATTTTCTCTCCCTCAAAGGGCTAACCCAGAGTTTTGTTCATCCAAAGGATGGCACCAGATTATTCTATCTTTATGCTAAAAAAAAACCCATGTAAAGATGATTATAAAAGTATTTTTAAACTCTTAAGCTTTATTGATCTACAAGTCCTTGTAAATACTGATCGCTAACTTAGCATGCTCCAGCAAAAGTGAAGAGTGTGATATACATAATAATGAGGTAGTAGAATGTCTTGAAGTACTTGAAACTGTATACTATACCTTAATAATGGGTGTATGCATTAGTAATGTGTGTTTTTACTCATCAATACAATTCTTTTTCAGGGCATCTTGATATTCAAATGACAGACAGTTTGATGTAACAAACAGAGTAAATTATTGAAATATTCTTCTAGATATTTGAAGCCTACCTTTCCCTCCTTTAAGTCTTTAGAAATTCATGGAAACTGGGTGGGGAAAGGTTCCTTTTGTTATATGCTTATCAGTACCCCTCAGTGCTCAGCATCATCAAATTAGGTCTGTTTACTGCTTTGTTTGGTTCTAATCTTGTCAAAGATCTGGCTGACATGTTTACTTAGTTTAAGGTTTGGTGCACCCACTTGAAATTCAAAAGAAGGTGCGAAAGAGCTATCCCAAAGCTTGTTTGTCTGCATTTGGAGATTTCCTCTTCCTTACTTTTTATCGTCCATTTGGGAATCATTATGCTTTGAAGTGAGTTTATAATAATGTAATTTATTGTTTGCAGGTGTCTCTCAAAAGTTTTCAAGGGGCAGACAGGTGGGTTTTTGCAATCACATTCATGATTATTTCTATTACTCTTTTTGATTAAACAGAATATAGTGTGTAATGATAATGATCGTAACCTAAATTGTGTTACTTTTAAATTACTTTAAAAGTAATTGTGATATTTTCTTGTGTTTGTGCATATACAATTTATAATAGGTCACAATAGGATGACATAACAGTATTCAACACTATTGATTGATGCCAAGCATGTGTGGGTGTTCATGACATAACAAAAATGGTGTTATAGAAATGAAATAGAACACTACTAAGATATATTGGTATGTGTGGGTGTTCATGTAGTAGTGAGAACTTGTTGCTTACTTGTGATAATAAGAACAAACTAAATGAAGCATACCTAATATCTAGTATTTTTTTTTTTTTTTTGATAAATAGAGATACCTAGTCATTTTTTATGAATCTCATAATCTATCAAGAGCATTGTAGAAACTTTTAGTTTCTTCATTAATATGCTTCATGCTAGAAATGCTTCTTGTATGCTTGATAGTTTTGATTCAGGTTGCACCACCAGGATGCAATAATCATGACAGTTGTTAATTTAGCAAGTAATTATCCATACATAGATAAATAGCCTTAGACCCGTCCAAGAATCTTCATTAGAGATACCTAGTCATCTTTGATGAAGCTCTTCTTGGATTGTCCAATTGGGACAGTTCAGGAGCACAAGTCTGTGTTGTAATTAGTAGTTCTACCGCTTAAATGTAGTCTATCTCGTAGAGATTTCGTGTAGTAGCTTCTCATGTTCTCTGAGTGCATACTAGACAAAGTGTAGCAATACACCTAGTCTATGTCGTGTACTTGGAGAATCATGGGGAGATGCTGCCGAAATTTCGTTAGAGATAGATAGAGCGGTATGAGCTACTTTTTACAATATAGACTGTGCATTCCTGAATGGAAAAGTAGGATGAAGCAACCTATTAGAGAAGAGTTAGCGGTGAATGGTGTCATGTCGCATGCATTGTAATGTACTTAATTGAGGTTAAGAATAATTAAAATGAAATGATAATTTTGAACCTTGTTGATTTGGCAGTGACATTTTGAACCTTGGTGAATGGTGTCATGTCGCATGCATTGTAATGTACTTAATTGAGGTTAACAACTCCATCTCTACTGTAAACCTTCGTATTGTGGTTGCCATTGCACATCTCCACATCCTATCCTTCAGTGCTAAACCAGGAAACTGTTTCTTGAAGTTGTTGTGTAGGTGCCTCACACAATGCCTATGCTCTGACTCTGGGACTAGTTCATTAAGTGCAGGAATTATACCTGTCAAATGAAAACCAAAATCAAATTTTAGAAGTAAGTAAATGCTATATACAAGGTAAAAGTAAAAATTAATAATAACAAGTATTATACCTTTTGTTAATCTGTTATAAAGGTCCAGTGATGTTGCTGTTGAGGAGTAATACCCAAATCTTGAAGAACCAGCCCAATGAACCACTTCCATGAGTCCATATTTTCAATCTCAACTACAGCATATGCAATTGGAAATTAGCAATTATTGGGATTAATACCAATTGCTGTCAACAATTGCCCACTGTGTGTACCTTTTATATGGCAACCATCAAGACCAACAAATGGTCTACAACCTTCTAAAAGTCCCCTTTTGCAAGCCTCCAAACAAACATATAATCTCAAAAATGGGTTTATGGGATTGAATGGGAAAGAATCAAAGGAACTGAAGATGAACAGAGAGAATTCGATAAAGTAGCTGAATATCTATGTATATGTGTGTGTGTGTTTATACAAGTAATTACATGTACTTACATGTACTTACACAATAAAAAATAAAAATTATTATATTCAATTACCCAAAATAGTGCTTGTTTGTAAGACAAATACCAGCATTGCCATTGCACACTTGGAATTTTTCAATCATCATCGTTGGGTCACAGGAACGGCTAATATTATCTTGATTTGTGAAATTAGCTACTACTGTGGGCTTGCTGCTGTGTGTATGCTGCTGCGTGTATGTTGTTGCTGCTGTACGTATGCAATAGTCACAAAGTTGCCAATTATTTGTAGGTCAATACAGATGCCGACGAGTCAATGAAGAAATTTGTTTTGGCATCTGTTGAAAAAAAAATGGAGAGAGTGGAAGACTAGAGTTAAACAATTGGGGTATACGCCATTCGACAACGATGCTGATAGGTTAACTCATCAGCCCGAAAGAGTACATGAGCATCAATGGAGAAGCTTAGTCTATTATTGGGGCACTTGAAAGGCACATGTATCATTTAAATTGTTTATTGAACTCTATCATAATCTCATAAGATGAGTTTGTTAATTAATAAATTATCTTGTGTTTGTGTTCATATGTAACAGAAAAAAAGTACAAAAAACAAAGAAATTCGGAAGAAGAAGACATTAAATCACATAACTGGCAGAAAATCATTCTCAGTTGTTCGAGTAGAGGTATATAGTTTCTTTATATTTCAAATTGAAATTGTATATTTTGATTTTGTTACTTAATTTTAAGTGTAATTATAGGAAACTAATAAGAAGAATGGAGTTCCTGCAACTCGCTTAGAGGTGTGGATGGCTGGGTACACGAAGGATAACAAACCAAGTAATGATAAAGTTGTTGAGGTCATGGTATGTAGCACGATAATTATATACTTTGCATGTATGGAATGTATTAGATACTTGTCCTAATAAGACATAAATCTGCTACTAACATATATATAAGGTACTCAATAATTATTTTTGATTAGTGTGCCTGACCTAGAAGGCAGAAACTTCTCAAGAGCCTTTGCACCTAATGAAAGTATGATCATTCTAGTGTTTCTTCAGAGATTCATTTAATTTTTACCACATAATATGTTACATCAAATTACTCAATTGACTTAAGATATTTCTTTTCCCTTCCAATTTGACTCAAACTCCAATTTAGTCTTGTTCCCTTTGCTATTCTAAGGCCATTATGTAACTTTAACACAGGATCTTTCATTCAATTTTTTCACATAATTGAATTTAGTGAAAGCTTCTTGTTTGATTCCATTTACCTTTTTTTGCTACCAAATCTACAAGTCAAGGACTGTATTTTTATGAATTCTGAATTTGAGCATATGAAGTGGAAGTGTCATTGAAACAATTTTGAATCTCAATTGATGATGTTATTGAATTCATATGGCCCAATGGAAGTAGGTTACATTTAACGGCACTAGTTATGAACAATTTTATTGGTGGCTAATTACTAATTAACAATTGTAGACACAAATGAAGGACCTTGGAGCGCAATCCAATGCTACAGATAAAGAAATTATCACACAGGTTCTAGGGCCTGAGCGACCTGGTCGTGTTCAAACATATGGATTGGGTCCTTCCCCGACAGATGTCTTTGGAGGCAGATATAGGCAATCGTAAGAACAAACTCGTATCATCCAAACGCAAGTCCAAGAGCAACTTAACCAATATAAAGCACAAATGGAGATGCAAATGAAGGAGATGATGGATGCTATGCTTAATCAACAGAAAGTACAAATGGAGATGCAAAGCACAATCCAAGCTCAATAAGCCCGAATAGAGCAATTGGAGTCTCAACAGGCCATGGGTGGGCCTGTTGCACCAGCTGCTACACATGTGCATTCACAACAACAATCCCATGCATACACCTCATCGTTTAATTGTCATCATTCGTCCGAGGAAGTGAGTAATAGTTAATTATGAAATTTTCGTATGACATTTTATTCATGTTATTTGTTCTTATCAAATGCAGGTTCACATATCAAAGAAAGAAAAGAAGAAGAAGAAGAAGAAGTAGATATGACAAACTCAGGTTCATTCTAAATCATTATAGTTGGATCTGCTTCCTCCTTCTCACTTATTTGTTGAAAGGCTTCAGATTCAGTGTAGTTAGTTGAGTTCTATGATGTGCATTGTTAATTATTGCTTCTCATCTGAGGATTTGGTTATGCACTTATTGATAGATTTTATTTCCCTAAAATTCCAAAAAAAAAATTCATTTTAACTTTGTTTCTTATTTTATATCTTTTACCTCTTATGCTTATAAAACACTATTTATAATATACCATAGCATATCTCATTTTGTTAATATTATCATTTCTAAAGTTACAAAATTAATTTTCAATCATTATATTGCTCCCATATCCAATATAATATGGAGTGGTGGCAGGCCACTGCAAACCCCTTCCACAGCCATTGTACCTCCATGATTTTCTGCTCTATTATTTTCTTCTCTGTCTTTCTCTTTCTCTAATGTCATTGTTTTCCCACAGCACAAAACTTATGTGTGTATACATATATTTGTATAAGAGAAGATAGTTGAATAGTTGTATTGAGTCTATTGATACCATATTTCACACATTTCATCAATCAATTATGTTATATTTAGATTTTGAATTTGTTGAGAAAATTTAGGAAAATGTCTGAGATTCCCCAAAAAGCTCCAACAATTTAGCCCAATGATATGATATGGTAGGTGTCAATTTTTAATTTGACTCAAGGGGCTGGCCTCAGGTTTTGAGGTGTGCTCTTAAAGTCTCAAGTTCATAACTTTTTATGTGCAAACAATTTCTTGGGGTCAGTCCATACAAGGTTGAGATCTCCATAAGAGAGTGGTGAGATTAGTTTTTCGGATTAATCAATCTAATAGGCCACATTATTGTAAATGAATTTATGAATCTAAAAATATGGGTCTATTAACATTTGTCTGAAATCCATTTCGGAATGTTGGAGAGGCCAACTCAACATTTTTAGAGATCCATCCATGACTAAGGTATGAACACCTCTCTCAAATCTAGTAATAGATTAGTCTCAATTCGGTACGGGCTTAGAGATTAACCCTATATTAACCATTCTGTTCCGTATCATACATTGTGACGGAAAGGGAAAGTAAGTAAATCTGTGTAAAATCCTCTTTTTTAAATAAGAAAGTTAGTCCAGTTCTGTTTAATTGGGTATATCAGTTTGGAAGTTTAAAAAAATATATTAAAATATATAAATGTGTAAGAAGTTCTTAATGGAGTCATTGATGGAATCACAATTTATTTTAATTGTATTGCCTTCTGGTATGTATTTAATTAAGTCTGATGCAGAAAATCTGACTATGTTTTTTTGGCTTTTCCTAAGGTTATGGATTCACTTTTGTGCTGTTTTTGTTTTCACGGCACTTGTCTGCTATCTTCTTTATTTTGTAAGTAATATTTTGTGTACCATTTTTATTGCTGGTTTATTGGAGGGAGAAAAAACATCAATGGAGTTCTAATCACATCTGGAATATGATATAATCTGCAGGAGTTTAACTATATTTCATCAAAAAGGATTGCCTATTTCTATGCATCCAAACCTAAGAAGTATCCCCGTGTCATCCGGGATCAGCGTCACTGAAAGTGTTCAAAACTTTTGTACAAAGTATCATTCTCCACGTATCTCTCGCATTCAGTGGTTCATCAACCAGGCAAACTTCAGCAGCTACTTGTAAGCATTTTGTGTGGAAGCTTTGTAGATTTCTTTTCTTTTCCGATGGGAAACTGCAGCTTTATTTGCTTACCCTTTTACCATGGTCGTAAATTCTATTTGTTGGAAACTTTTATTGTTTCATTCTTTTATGAGGGTTATTTATTTTAGCTAATAGTATGCATATATATTGTCACTTTTTGCTCACTTTTCGAGAAAAACCCTTTTTATTTTATTAGTAAAGCCTAAAAACTTACTTATTGAAAAACTAAGCACTAACGAGCTCCCTCTCTTTCTTCTTCTTCTCTCTCCTCCTATGTCTTCTCTGGTTCTTCACCATTACCTTCAGCTCTCTCTCCCATCAAGGTTCCTCCATTTGTGGGCTGCATGTGTAACTTGATGTTTTATAGAGACCAACTTCAAGTTGTATGGCAGACAACATTTAGATTTGATTCTTTTAATACATGAAATGCATGGATTGTATGTTTAAGTGTCTCAAGACATACTTAAAAGCTTAGAATAGTTCATCGTGCTCTTATTATTATCATCATCTTTTTTTTTGGTAAGGTTAAGTTTTATTCTAGATCCGAAGGAATTATTATTATCATCATCCTTTTTTAGTAAGTGTGTTACTGTTGTCATCGTCATTTTTTTGTGTGTAATTGGTTCATGTGAATGAAATTTTGAGCCTTTTGGAAGATTAAACTAGTTGCAGTCTGCACTCCCTTTCATACATTGTTCAATTGGAGCATTAGAACAAAATTATTTTAGATATAACACTTCAGATGTGGTTTAGTGTACATCCTAAAACTATATCAACTTGCTTTATTTTTCCTTTGCGACTTCTAATTATTTGATTTTTTTCTTTTTCTAGAGTGATGCAGATAAATTGAATAGGAGGCTTGTTCGCTTGAAGTCAACAAACCGTACTCGAGAAAGGTTGAGGCGTAATGGCTTTTTGGGATTGTTTGGACACAAGGTTGATCTTTTAGATTACCATGAAAAGAAGCTACAAGACTTGGAAGATAACATGCGGATAGAGCAATCTTCACTGGTGGGAAAGGTACGTGCATTGAGTGTCTTATCAAGTTATCATTATGGATACCTTCTGGCCATTTGTGGGAGTGATATATCCTGTTGGCGGAAGTTGAGAGTTAAAGCCCCAGTATTGTGATGGGCTTGTGTTGTTATTATGCTTTTTTAGCCAACATAATAAATAATCAATGATTATTGATGCATTCTTGGCTATTTTAACTTTTTTAGAGCTTATTCACCCCGAAAAAACTTCTGTAGAGCTAAGCATCTAAACTGCATATGCTTTGTACAAAAGGGGGGGATGGAGCTCACATTCAACTCTTGCCTATGACTAGAAAATAAAACAAAGAGAGAAGGATTAAAAATTACATTGGCAAGGGAAATTAGGTCTTGGATTGTGTAGTGTGGGTCATTTTCTTTAGCAACAGTGGTTATATCTCTTTTCCTTTAAAGACATTTAATCAGATTGCCTTCTCTCACACTGTTGCGCATTGTCTTATCCTTGCAATTTAATTTTCCATTTTATTATATTATTATTTCTATTGTTGTTTCTGAATTTCAATCAATCATTTTACAGGTATCTTTCGGCTCTTTGATAGGATTTTTACCATACTGTAATCTTCCTGCCAGGTGGAAATTTTTAGCTTTCGAATCATGGTTGAGAGGGAAAGCCTTAGACCCGTCAAAGTACAAGCAAAATTTTTTTTGGTTGTCTTGAGTTTCTAAAACTCAACGTGGACATGGAATCCTTTGTTTGAATTGCGTCCTATGAAAACAATGTGTTACAGACTCATGGTTGCTTAGATGTCTTAGTTGACACTATGCATGTATATGACACTAGATGTGAAATTTTCACTTGAAATGATGATTCTGGTGAGATTATATTATGCATATATATGGCATGTATTGAGGATTGGTTTTAAATCTAGCAATTTGGTTACATAGAGCAAACATAAAACATGAGATCTCCAAATTATGAATTCAGTTTCCACCACTAGCAGGGAACCCACCAACCCCCACCCAAAAAAAAAAAAAAAGAGAAGAAGAAAGTGGCGTTTTCTGAAAAAACGCCACAAAATGACGTCATTGTGACGTCACACATTTAATTCGTGTAGGAAATAAAAAAAATGAAAAACAGTGGCGTTTAAATGACGTCATTCTCACATCACACGTTAATTGGGGACGGAAGGCGAGACGGTCGTCAAAGATTTTGCAGCGTTTTAAGAAACGCCATATAATGTTTTTAGCGACATTTTTCAAACGTTGTGTAGCTATTGCGGCGGCCCTATCAGCGGCAAAAATTTTACACGTCACAATAAGATATTACGGCGTTTTTCAGGCTTGTTGCGGCATTTTTAAAACGCCGCTAAAAAACGAATTTCCTGTAGTGCTTTACCATCTAAACGGAGTAATGATGAGAATCATGCATAAGTAACGAAAGGAGATCAGGAAAATATCTTCAGTACCTTTCAATTTAATTTTTTTTTTTTTTTTTTTCGGGGGCATATGTAGTGGATCCTTGTTGAACTAGATGTCCACCACAGGTTGGTTGGTTCATCTAAAAGCGGTCAAAAAAATAATTTTAAAAAGCTTTCTGGTTTAAGAATCTAATTCCATGCGTGAACTCTCAAAAAGTTTTAATCCTGTCTACGCATTCAATAATCTTCACCTTCCATTCCATTATAGTATAAATTTGTATATTCAAAAAAAATAAAATAAAATAAAATTATTTAAATGCTTGTAATATCCTCAGAGTTTGATGATGGGGGTTTGCTGCTGTCAGCATATTATGTCATCTCTATATAAAACTCTTCAGTCTCACGCAACTGTAGCTCAAGTCATCATAAAAAGAATACTTAAATGTTAGGGTGGGATTTTAGATTGGAGTTCATGAAAAGACTTTATAATTTAATTATTAGCACGTTAACACTATTTTTGAAAAAAAAAAACAATAACAACAACAACAACAAAATATGGAGGTCTCGTTCAGCATTGATTAAAAGAAAAGAGTCACATTTTTTTAAAAAAATAATTTGTTTTTAATAATTTTTTAAAAAAATTTTGTGTCAAAATTTTTTATTTTTTGAGTCCGTTTAGAGTAGAAAAATTCTCAAAGGAAAAGGATTTAAAAAAAAACAAATCTTTTTTTTTTGTTTCTAGTGAACCTTTTTTCAATTTTTTTTTTTTAATTTTCTTTCTTTTACTTTTCTAGTTCATTTAGTTGAGTATATAAAATAACATAAAATGAAAAGATACTAAAATAATTAATCTCAAAGATCTGCTGCAATAGGGGTTTTGAGAGTTTTCTCCTCCAATTTCGACATAGATTTTTGAATTTTTGATACCCACAATGGTTTCCTCCTCTCTCAAGCCTTCTCTCATACCATTGTAGGTGTACTTCCTTTTCAACTCTAGCTTCAGGCAATGTTCGATATCCGATGGCAGTAGTGGCGGAGTTGGGCAACGGCAACAGGGATGACGTCGACAAAGACGGTAGGCTTTTAAGAAGATCTTGTTTTTCAGACCATATCTTTGAGAAGATTAATGGTTTTAACTGGATTGCAACTATTTTTTTTTTTTTTTTTTTGATCTATTTTTTGTTGTTTGATTGGGATAGCCCTTTAGCGTCCTATTTATGTAATGTTATTGTTTATTAATATAATATTTCCTATGTTCTAAAAATATATATATCCACTGAAAATCAATTTTTTCACATATTTTAAACCATTGAAAAAATACTGGTTTATATTTGGTGAGAGTAAAAATCACATGCGCATTGCCTAATTCACACGATACGTGTCAATTTATAATTAATTCACAACCAGCATGTTCACAATCAATATGACCAATTTGGCTACTGTATTTTCTTTATTTTCTATTTTGATAATTTTGAAAAATCTGTGATTGCATCATCTAATTTCTGATGTGCATCAACGCTCCTGATACCATTACTCTACAACAAACAGATATTGATTTTTTTTTTTTCTTTCTAATACCACTATTTAAAACCTATAGTCATATAGTATACGATTAAATGATTTTAGATCAAAATTAACATGATGATCTGATATGATCAGATGATGAAATAATTAAGCTAAAGAGAGCGTCTTAAGCAGATAAAATTAGAATAAGAATTTTAACAAAGATTCGGATAGATAAAAAAATCAACAAATAGAATTCAGGGAAAAATTGAACAGATAAAAAAATTTGGACTTATATATTTACATAGGTAAGATAAAAAAAAATTGAACAAATAATAAAATTTGGACAGATATTTGAACAAATAAGAGGAAAAAATTGAACAAATTCTCAAAAAATTTGAACAGATAGATATTAATTTGAATAGATAGCCAACAAAAAGTCAATAGATAAAAAAAAAGTCAACAAATAAATTAAGAGATAGGATTGAAAACAAAATGTTCTTCGAAAACAACAAAACAACTTCGCACCAAACTATTGCACAAATTTGGCAGTTATGGATAGGTATATTGCAAAGACAAGACCAAGATAAGATATCTCGGCTAGAGAAAATTTATACTTCGTTTAGATTACAGTCAGAAAGTTACGTGCATGGTAGTTAACCGAAATAACAGTTGGAACTAAAGAAGCTTTCATTCAAGATTCAAATCAAGTACAAATGAGGGGCCTCAGCCCGGTTACAATTTTGTGTCCAAAAGCAAAAAGAAGAAAAGTACAGAATCAAGCCAAGAGATCATCTAAGTCAGTATCAAGCACAATCCGATCTTCACCCAGGGGTAGCTCGGTTGTGGCAAGCACCCCTTGGTTAGGCTCAGTCGAAAGCACCGCATCAGCAGGCAAAAGGGGGATGGAGACCTCTGGAGTGGAGGAGGTAGACTGGCAACCAGGCTGAATGTTGTCTCCTGGAGCCTCATCCTCATCCTTCTCCTCCAGAAATTGTTGCTGAACTGTAGCAGCATACTCCGCTAGTGAGCTCGGTATGAAATATGGAGGATTGAAGACCTCGGTCTCAAGTCCATGACCGAGCTGTGCCACAGCCCCCCTCCACCCGCATTTGAAGAACAGATCCTCCACAGCCTCGCACTACTTGATACACAAGGCCTCGCCCTCTTTGAAACCGAGGTTCTCAGCATCCTCCAGCTTCTTCTCAAGCTTGGTTATTTCGGCATTCTTTTTCCCTTCAAGCTTGGCCAGCTCGCGCAAATATTTGTCTTTTATCACGGCCGCAGCCTTTTGTTTGTCAGCCTCAGCCAAGCTAACAAGACCGGTTAGACAACCATTCTCGACTCGTAGCTCGGCTATCTGCTTCCTGGCCTCTTCTAGTTCGGTGGTTTTTTCAGTTACTTCTACCCTAGCCTGCCTTGTTGTTTTTCGAAGTTCCAACACTCGCTTGTGAGCGATATGGTTCTTCTGAATGGCCTACAAAAGGATGGAAAGAAACTTTTTTCGAACTATCGAGCAGAAAGTTGTAAGAATTTGAAAGATAAGCAAGGGAGCTACTTACCAGCACCATGAATTTTGTGGACGAGTGAAGGGCCTTTAGCTCGGTGAGGTGGTCGTGGTGCTCTATGTCAGGTGGAAGGAAAACACTCTTGGCCAGATTGAATGCCATTAGGTGGTCTTTTTCAGCGACCACTGAATCAGTATCCCGTATAGCACGGTTCTGAAAAGTGATCTTGGGAGCCCACTTGGAAGAGCTAGCTCGGTCGGAACGCTCCAGCTGAGGGTTAGGTGGAGGGCTTGGCGGAAGGATGGGATCTTCTTCATCAACAAGGCATGGCTCAGTTATGGAAGTCCGAGCACCCTTATTAGGACAAGATGATGAGCATTGGTGAGATGAAAGAGCCACCAAGGTCTCTTGAGTTTGACCGGCTAGTGGTACCTCGGGCTGGTTTGTTTCGGTCAGGAGTGCCCTTACAACTCATTTTTTGGCCATCTCTTGCTCAGCGGTTAGAGGGATCAATCTGATTTGGGGCAAGTTTGGGTCCGGTTCAAGAGAGGCTTCCAATAAAAAGTCAATCACCTTGGTCTTCCGTTTGCCGCTATACCAGTAGGTCGGCTGAAAGTCCAATAGCTCGGTCCA